CACAGATGATGCAATCTCTATTGCACTCCACACTGCCCTTTCCCACCTGGACAAGAGGGACACCTACGTGAGAATGCTGCTCATTGACTACAGCTCAGCGTTCAACACCATAGTGCCCTCAAAGCTCATCACTAAGCTAAGGACCCTAGGACTAAACACCTCCCTCTGCAACTAGATCCTGGTCTTCATGACGGGCCGCCCCCAGGTGGTAAGGGTAGGTAACAACACATCTGCCACACTGATCCTCAACACAGGGGCCCCTCAGGGGTGCGTGCTCAGTCCTCTCGTGTACTCCCTGTTCACCCATGACTGCATGGCCAGGCACCATCATTAAGTTTGCTGACGACACAAAAGCGGTAGGCCTGATCACCAACAACGATGAGACAGCCTATAAGGAGGAGGTCAGAGACCTGGCCATGTGGTGCCAGGATAACATCCTCTCCCTCAACAAGATCAAGACAAAGGAGATGATTGTGGACTACAGGAAAAAGAAGAGGACCAAGCACGCCCCCATTCTCATTGACGGGGCTGTAGTGGAGCAGGTTGAGAGCTTCAAGTTCCTTGGTGTCCACATCACCAACAAACTATCATGGTCCAAACACACCAAGACAGCCGTGAAGAGGGCACGACAAAGCCTACTCCCCCTCAGGAGACTGAAAAGATTAGGCATGGGTCCTCAGACCCTCAAAAAGTTATACAGCTGCACCATCGAGAGCATCCTGACTGGTTGCATCACTGCCTGGTATGGCAACTGCTCGGCCTCTGACCGCAAGGCACTTCAGAGGGTAGTGCGTACGGCCCTGTACATCACTGAGGCCAAGCTTCCTGCCATCCAGGACCTCTATACCAGGCAGTGTCAGAGGAAGGCCCTAAAAATGGTCAAAGACTCCAGTCACCCTAGTCATTGACTGTTCTTTCTGCTACCGCACGGCAAGCGGTACCGGAGCACCAAGTCTAGGTCCATAAGACTCCTGAACAGCTAATCATGGCTACCCGGACTATTTGGATTGTCCACCCCACCCAACTCTTTTAAAAATTGATTTGTTAGTTATAGCAATCTGTCATTCGATGACACAGTTGATGACATGGCACGCAACCATTGGTTGATGCATGCAACGTCTGAGCAGGGGAACACGACCACAGGCATCAGCTCCACCATGGGCAACAACAGTTAGTTTTCACCAAAATATGTTAAACTCATAGCTGGTTTATCCAGTGAACACCATATTTAGAAGGATAGCTACTGACTGAAATGTAGCTAACGTTAGCTAGTTCACTGGCCAGGCAGTAGCCACTACTAGCCAACTAATCGTGGATTTCCAATTATTTGAAACATTTGGGTCATGATCGCTTTAGGAGCGGCCATAAAAAAAAGAGGGCGTTTTGACTAGAATTCTCAGTTACAAAATCCGTACCAGTGAATGAAGTGACGTCACTACGCAAAAACAATGAAGGAATTTACATAATAAACTAAAAAGGGTATTATTCCACAGTCCACAGCATAAAATCTATAATAATATTAAGTACACATGGTGTACCATCCTGAATTGAAATGTAATGCAATAGCCCACATTTGGTTCATACAGAATCTTATCAGAACTTCCAATGCATATATCTGCGATCATGAGATTAGCCAGTGGGGATGAATATACCCATGGCCTTTCGGAGCAGTCGGCGACTGAGAGACGCCAGACAGTGGCGGCTCTGAACACCACGTCCTGGCTTCCTAAGACTGTAAGAAGGGGGACTGGTGGCCTGGAAGCCACGAGGGAGTGGGGGGGGGGGGGGGGGGGGGGGGGGGAGGACGCTCTGCTGAATTGTTGCTGCTCAGGAGGCTCTCTAAACACAGGAAGGATTTACACAAAGTTTATCTAACAGCCAATTGATCATGGGAATATCGCATAACCTTTTTTGGGCTTAAAATAGACTCCCATGTTCCTCCGCTTGGCCCAGCGCACTGTTTAATGCTGCAGTGCTGCCTGATGGGTAAAATCACGTCAGAGAATGAGTGATGAGCCTCCGTATACAGACAGAAAATAAGAATGTGTGACTCAAATGGACAACATGAAAGCCAATGTCCTCAGACACTGAACTACCTGTAAGTAATTATAACCTCTCAGCTAAAAGTGCATCTAAATTCTGGAGATGTTGGTCATTATGTCATGTTGATATTCCGCATGCAAACCAATCACATGAGGATCACTTAAGAGTGCCAACACTGTAGGAAAGTGAGGGATAGTTTCAGCTCCTTGAGGTAGGCTAAGCTATAACGATGCAATGAAATACTTTTCTCAAGAGTAAAATTACTTCAAAATGTGTCATATGTTTGATCATGAATGGCACTTAATAATTGGATAAGACTACCGAAAACCATTGCACGGACCAAAACAAGGGTGGTTCAAAGGGTTTTGATGTTCAATAGATTTAACTTGAACATCAAACAAGTTCTCACATTTCTGAAATGTAAATCACACTTTCAAAACATTTAACTGTGTTGGTTTTTCAAATGACAATTGACACCCAGCACCTACATAAATAATTCAGCTTATAAATAATTTAGATCAGGCCAGAGCTCCATCTTGGCTTAAATTTAACTATACTGCATGCCCTTATTTACTTAAAACCCAAAACAGTGTTCAGACAACATTAATTCTCTAGCCAAGCAGGGTGACAATTCCACAGGCTGTGGTGAAGACTTGTGAAAACCTCATTCTTGACGGGAGAACATGGATTAACCTCTGGGCCGAAGGTGGGTAAGAGCCCCAGTGGCATTCACGAGTGGAAAAGCCCCATCTATTAATCTGGGCGGAAGATATCTCTCTCACTGTTTTCTTTGGATGTTTTAACAGTCGGGATGAGGGGGCGGAGGCTACATAAACTGCCAACAATACCCATTCGAGGACATACTCCAAACGCATTTGGAAAGTATGCCCGGGATATGGGAAGAATGCCGTCTATGTGTATACAAGTAGGAGCTGATTAATCAGAGTTAGCTTGGCTGAGACTAACAGTGGACCAAGAGGCTGAAAGTAGGGGGACCTCAGCTGGGCGGAAAGGGGATTACATAGGGGATATAGAGGTATACAGGATTGCATAGGGCCAAGGCCTTACCTGAACATGATGAATCCAATGGACTCCACCGCTGCCCTTCTGACGTCATCGTTCACGTCGCTCACCTGAAAGGTAGAGAACAATGTGGGTTTTTTTTGGGGGGGGGGGGGACTTTTTACCCCTTTTTCGTGATATCCAAATGGTAGTTAGTCTTGTCCCATCGCTGCAACTCCCCTACGGACTCGGAAGAGGCGAAGGTCGAGAGGCATGCGTCCTCCGAAACATGACCCTGCCAAGCCACACTGCTTCTTGACACACTGCTCGCTTAACCCGGAAACCAGCCGCACCAATGTGTCGGACGAAACACTGTATATCTGGCGACCGAAGTCAGCGTGCAAGCGCCCGGCCCACCACAAGGAGTCGCTAGAGCGCGATGAGACAAGGACATCCCGGCCGGCCAAGCCCTTCCCTAACCCGGACGACGCTGGGCCAATTGTGCGCCGCCTCATGGGGCTGCGACACTGCCTGGGATCGAACCCGGGTCTGTAGTGACGCCTCTAGCACTGCGATGTAGTGCCTTAGACACCTGCGCCACTCGGGAGGCCAGAGAATGATGAATTAACAGCAGGAAGAATGCGGTAGGGTAAGGAGATAACATCCACTACTAATAATTTTGCTGCCCAAAAGCTAAATTGCAAAACTACCCATCAGCCAAAATATCAAAGATTTGGCGGAAGCCTATACTTTTGTTCATAAACAACTCTTATATCAAAGCATAATCACACCTTTAGCTTATGCAGCCTGCCATCTCTAGGAACAACCATCTGCCCCAGTAACAATAACATTAATTAATCTATTTGGGCTTCCTGTACTACCAAAGGATTTCATTATCTGTGATTAATATACCAAATGACCAAATGTATGTGGACACCTGCTCGTCGAACATCTCATTCCAAAATCATGGGCATTAAGATGGAGTAGGTCTCCCCTTTGCTGCTATAACAGCCTACACTCTCCTGGGAAGGCTTTCCACTAGATGTTGGAACATTGCTGCGGGGACTTGCTTCCATTCAGCACAAGAGCATTTGTGAGGTTGGGCACTGATGTTGGGCAATTAGGCCTGGCTTGCAATCGGCGTTCCAATTCATCCCAAAGGTGTTCAATGGGGTGGAAGTCTGGGCTCCGTGCAGGTCAGTCAAGATCTTCCACACCAATCTCGACAAACGATTTCTGTATGGACCATCATGAAACAGGAAAGGGCCTTCCCCAAACTGTTGCCACAAAGTTGAAAGCACATAATTGTCTAGAATGTCATTGTATGCTGTAGCGTAAACATTTCCCTTCACTGGAACTAAGGGGCCTAGCCCGGGTGCGGCTGCTCAGCCATGGAAATCCATTTCATGAAGCTCTTGACGAACAGTTATTGTGCTGACGTTGCTTCCAGAGGCAGTTTGGAACTCGGTATTCAGTGTTGCAACCGAGGACAGACGATTTTTACTTCACAGTCCCGTTCTGTGAGCTTGTGTGGCCTACCACTTCGCTGCTGACCCGTTGTTGCTCCTAAACGTTTCCACTACACAATAACAGCACTTTCAGTTGACCAGGGCAGCTCTTGCAGAAGAGAAATTTGACAAACTGACTATGACGGTGCCACGTTGAAAGTCACTGCGCTCTTCAGTAAGGCCATTCTACTACCAATGTTTGTCTATGGAGATTGCATGGCTGTCTGCTCTATTTTATACACCTGTCAGCAACGGATGTCGCTGAAATAGCCGAATCCACTCATTTGAAGGGGTGTCCACATATGTATATATAGTGTACCAACAGATAATAGTCTGTCATAACCGTCCTCGCAATTACAATACTTAATAGCTTGGCTATCCATGGAGTGCTCAGTTCCCTGGTTGTCGGTGTCTTGCGTGAGAAAGGGGAAGGAGGACACTTACAGCCACATGTAGCAGACGTCTGATGGCCTTGTTGTTCCCAGAGCCGCAGTAGGCCATGCCCACTGTGTACATTCCGGAGCGGCGCAGGATGGGGTCCTAGAGCAGACACAGTGACAGAACACAGAGCCTTAGTTAAGAGACTAGTCTGCAGCAGTTAAGTCTAGTCATGGCAACAATGTGTGGTCAACAACTTCTACATCTTATTTGACATCTAGCATATTTAAAAAAGGTCCAACGCAGCCGTTTTTATCCCAATATCAAATAATTAAGTACCTTACTGTGATTGAAAACAATCAAAATGGCCAAAAAGAAACAAAAATTGCTTCTTAGCAAAGAGTAATTTCTCAAGCAAGCATTTTGCTATGACTGTCTGGGATTGCTCTAAATGGGGAGGGGAAAACTGAAAACTAGCTGTTATTGGCAGAGAGGTATGGAACTCTCTTATTGTTCTATTAACTAATTTACCGTCTGATGTCGTCACCGGGCAGGCAGACACCCACCAAAACAGGCAGAAATTTCAGGCAAACAGCTTTTACACTAAAACGGCATTATCAGCATTTTCACAGTATTATTCCAACCTCATAGTGTAGAGCTATATATAGTGAGGGAAAAAAGTGTTTGATCCCATGCTGATTTTGTACGTTTGCCCACTGACAAAGACATGATCAGTCTATCATTTTAATGGTATGTTTATTTGAACAGTGATAGACAGAATAACAACAAAAAAATCCAGGAAAATGCATGTCAAAAATGTTATCAATTGATTTGCATTTAAATGAAGGAAATAAGTATTGGACACCTCTGCAAAACATGACTTGGTGGCAAAACCCTTGTTGGCAATCACAGAGGTCAGACGTTTGTTGTAGTTGGCCACCAGGTTGGCACACATCTCAGGAGGGATTTTGTCCCACTCCTCTTTGCAGATCTTCTCCAAGTCATTAAGGTTTCGAGGCTGACGTTTGGCAACTCGAAACTTCAGCTCCCTCCACAGATGTTCTATGGGATTAAGGGCTGGAGACTGGCTAGGCCACTCCAGGACCTTAATGTGCTTCTTCTTGAGCCACTCCTTTATTTCCTTGGCCGTGTGTTTTGGGTCATTGTCATGCTGGAATACCCATCCATGACCCATTTCAATGCCCTGGCTGAGGGAAGGAGGTTCTCACCCAAGATTTGACGGTACATGGCCCCGTCCATCGTCCCTTTGATGCGGTGAAGTTGTCCTGTCCCCTTAGCAGAAAAACACCCCCAAAGATTAATGTTTCGCCATGTTTGACGGTGGGGATGGTGTTCTTGGAGTCATAGGCAGCATTCCTCCTCCTCCAAACACGGCGAGTTGAGTTGATGCCAAAGAGCTCCATTTTGGTCTCATCTGACCACAACACTTTCACCCAGTTCTCCTCTGAATCATTCAGATGTTCATTGGCAAACTATAGACGGGCCTGTATATGTGCTTTCTTGAGCAGGGGGACCTTGCGGGCGCTGCAGGATTTCAGTCCTTCACGGCATAGTGTGTTAACAATTGTTTTCTTGGTGACTATGGTCCCAGCTGCCTTGAGATCATTGACAAGATCCTCCCATGTAGTTCTGGGCTGATTCCTTACCGTTCTCATGATCATTGCAACTCCACAAGGTGAGATCTTGCATGGAGCCCCAGGCTGAGGGAGATTGACAGTTATTTTGTGTTTCTTCCATTTGCAAATAATCGCACCAACTGTTGTCACCTTCTCACCAAGCTGCTTGGCGATGGTCTTGTAGCCCATTCCAGCCTTGTGTTGGTCTACAATCTTGTCCCTGACATCCTTGGAGAGCTCTTTGGTCTTGGCCATGGTGGAGAGTTTGGAATCTGATTGATTGATTGCTTTTGTGGACAGGTGTCTTTTATACAGGCAACAAACTGAAATTAGGAGCACTCCCTTTAAGAGTGTGCTCCTAATCTCAGCTCGTTACCTGTATAAAAGACACCTGGGAGCCAGAAATCTTTCTGATTGAGAGGGGGTCAAATACTTATTTCCCTCATTAAAATGCAAATCAATTTATAACATTTTTGACATGCGTTTTTTTGGATTTTTTTGTTGTTATTCTGTCTCTCACAGTTCAAATAAACCTACCATTAAAATTATAGACTGATCATTTCTTTGTCAGTGGGCAAACGTACAAAATCAGCAGGGGATCAAATAGTTTTTTCCCCTCACTGTGTGTGTATATATATATATATATATAAAAACACAAGGTGGGGGCGGGGGGGAATCTGACTGCACTGGGCCTTTAAGGAATTCCTTGACCAAAGTATGGGTACTGTATGTAACTTTTATACTACAGTTCAAGACAGGTATTCATTGTCACAGTAAATTGAAACGGAGATGAATACAGGCTGGAAAAAAGCAAAAGCAACCACATTTGGCAACAATAGGTAAAAGGGTTAACTGTCATGGATGCATAGCCAAGGAATAAATGTGAATAAATATGGTGGTAGCGGATGAGGCGAGTTTCTCCCATTCCAATGCAAAGTGCTAAGAAGCCATATACCCATCATCACCAGGCATAATGGAAGAAGTGTGCGTGTGAATGTGTGCCAAGTCCGACTGTTACCTTGTCCCTGCAGAGGCTCTCGATGAGTGTGTCTGCCTCCTCCATGCGTCCATACATGACCATGGCGATTCCAACGGCCAGGCCGCGCAGGATCTTCTCGTGCTGCGTCTCCTGGGCGTAGCCCACCATGTCCTCGATGGCCTGTGCCGACTTGGAGCCCAGCATGACCAGCCCCAGGGCCAGCCCCGCAGCCTCGCCTGGGAACAGAGGGCAGACAAAGACATGAGCACCACATGATGGTAGAGGTCTGCGAAGGACTGATTTCTTTATCCCACTCCCACAGCTTTTGATACCCCACCCGCCCGCTCCCACTGGCTTTTTGTCCGACTCCCACCCGCAAGAACCCGACCGCAGTCCTGCAAATGTTATTTTAGGCGTAACGTTATGTGACGCAGCTTGCTTGGCAGCCATGGTCCCAGCAATTTTTGCACCCTATTGGCAATACCAAAATGCGCAAAAATAACCAAGAACTAGGTTAAATTACCAGCGATTCTCACGTGGCTATCGGTATTACTGGGCTATATCAGCCAATAGGCTAGACATAGTTTGAAAGAGAGCCATAGTTGGAGCAAGAACGGACACTTGCACTTTTACTTGAGCTACGTTTTGCATAATCTAGCCTACCTTAAAGGAAAGGTTCACCCATTTTTAATGTTATATTGTTTTAGTGCATCTGAGTGATGTTCTATCGATTCCCTGGGTCATTTCATGTTTTCATGTGTATTTGAGTTATTGGCGTTCAAGCAGGCAGAAATCCGGCCAGTATGACGTAGCACCGTGATAAAGTCACTCACTACACTGGAAGTTAATAGGAATACGACTTTTAGATCGCGAAAACATCATTCATACATGTCAGATTTCAATACTGGCCGATGTCTTCTCTCAAATGAGCCATTGATTATATTTTTGCGATATTCCTACCTCGAGAAATGTGTAATTTAACGGAGGGTCTAGCACATTTAGTCCAGGGTGCATTGCATGGTGCCGTTGCCAGAGATATTATAGAAAGAAGATAGGAATCCAATGATTGAAGGAATGTATAACGCCCCACCCAGCAGACTGTCGACCAATCGCATTCACGTTGTCATGCTGCGTCACGCGGTTGCTAAGCTAATCGTCACACAATCCCTTCTCAAAACGTGCATATTTTCCTCGAAAGTACGTAATGTCACGATTCCAAAGCTATACGATACTACAGACTGCAAGTTAATTATCTCACATCTCTGAAAATATTTGTAATGTTGTAGTTCTTGTTGACGAAATTCGTGCTTATGTTGGGTTTTTGAGCTAGCGCCCAATAGACTCCCTTTCAATCCTTGAAGGAGAGCGCTACTTGTCCCAGAATCCACCGCACGGCCAATTGACGTAGCATGGGCAACATATCCCCATCTCCTCAAAAGTATATCTGCTGTTGCGAATGTTAGACTCCACTCTGTGAGGCACATCGATCTGCAGGTTGAACATGGTGAGATTGTAAAATCCTAAATTGATAGTGCAGTTTGTTTAGGCGATTTTACAGCCAACTAGCTATGTTACATGCAGATATTGTCTTTGGTATTATTGTGTGTAGCTACGTTTGCTAGCCAGCCCATACAGAAAGCATTGCATTGTAGATTTTGGAGTCGACTTGAGCTGCAACAGATTTCCACAACGATTTTCCATGTTGCTACCAACCTTATTATAAAACGCCAAAATGAAACATTTGTTCACAAAACATATTGTTCTCACAGTGTAAATTAAAAGGAATACGTGGTTTGGGATGGATTGTTCCTTTAACAGGAGCGGGATCAATGTTTATTTCCAGACCATGTAGTAGACCTAAACTATAGATTAAATCATAATTATGAAGTTAATTTCCTTGGAAAGACAACTGCCACGTGCTTCCCCAGCCATGCATATAGCTTACGCTATTTAGTCTTCATTTTTGCACAAAGAAAACGTATAGGCCTATTTTAACACTGAAAGAGCTTTTTATCAATTAAAATATCCATGTGACATTGTTACATACAAGGATATACCATGACATTTCAAATTATTAATTTAATAAAACAATATTTTCAATTTAGTTTTCATGACATGCTCCCCATAAAAAGACCAGTAGATGTCCCGTGTGTAGCTTGTTGTTCATGTTGGCAAATGAAAGCGGCAAAGAGGCTTAATGTGTAGCAAGTGTAGTGAGAGTTCAGGTAGGCCATTTTATCTGACTGGGCTTAGCTAGCGTTATCTTTTCTAGGCTACTCCAGTCAATACACGCACTGTTATATGGGATGATGAATAACATTGTGGCTGATACAAGTTAGCTAGTCTTGGCTGTAGCCGAGTAGTCCCTCTCTCTGCCTCCGTCTGCTCGCCCCCATCTCACCAGCACCTCTGCAGCAATAGAACGCCTGCCTCTTCCTCACGCAGCAGTGCTCAGGTTAAAAACGCACATTTAAAAATACACATTTATTTTGAATATCCGGATATCCAACAAAAATTCATTATACTATTCGAATAGTGAAATTATTTCAAACCCCCATCCCTAATTCCTAGGATTAACAGTATTAAAAACTTACACTAAAATTAACACTAATATGTGAAAAACATTTTTTTTTCACTTTGCTACATTTTACATTTACATTTTAGTCATTTAGCATACATCAAAAAAAATCATACTGGCCCCCGTGGGAATCGAACCCACAACCCTGGCATTGCAAGCGCCATGCTCTATCACACTACACAGGGCCCAAAAACTACATTTGTTTCATTTTTTGTCCTTATAAAAGGTTGGTAGCAACATGTGAAAATCATTGTGGAATTCTGTTGCCGCTAAAGTAAACTTCAAAACCCACAATGCAATGCTCTCTCGAGGCTGGCTGGCTAGCTGGCTAGCTAGCAAACGTACAGTTGAAGTCGGAAGTTTACATACACCTCAGCCAAATAACGACCCAGTGGTTTTCACTCATATTATCTCTCTGTATTCTGTAAGTATAGTCTCGCAGGGTTTTCAGGTTGTCCTATAATTGCTGAACAGCCAGCTCTCACCTTGACACACTAATCTTTTCATGTCTGGCTTTTCTGATTGTGATTCATAATAGAAGTCTACCTTTGATCCCGTTTGACCTGCTTTTTTATTCTGAAGTTATTATGGTAGTGTGTGTTACAGGTGGGCAGAATATTCCCATATACAGTTGAAGTCGGAAGTTTACATACACCTTAGCCAAATACATTTAAACTCAGTTTTTCACAATTCCTGACATTTAATCCTAGTAAAAATTCCCCGTTTTAGGTCAGTTAGGATCACCACTTTATTTTAAGAACGTGAAATGTCAGAATAATAGTAGAGAAAATGATTTATTTCAGCTTTTATTTATTTCATCACATTCCCAGTGGGTCAGAAGTTTACATACACTCAATTAGTATTTGGTAGCATTGCCTTTAAATTGTTTAACTTGGGACAAACGTTTTGGGTAGCCTTCCACAAGCTTCCCACAATAAGTTGGGTGAATTCCTCTTGACAGAGCTGGTGTAACTGAGTCAAGTTTGTAGGCCTCCTTGCTCGCACACGCTTTTTCAGTTCTGCCCACAAATCTTCTATAGGATTGAGGTCAGGGCTTTGTGATGGCCACTCCAATACCTTGACTGTTGTCCTTAAGCCATTTTGCCACAACTTTGGAAGTATGCTTGGGGTCATTGTCCATTTGGAAGACCAATTTTCGACCAAGCTTTAACTTCCTGACTGATGTCTTGACATGTTGCTTCAATATATCCACATAATTTTCCTTCCTCATGATGCCATCTATTTTGTGAAGTGCACCAGTCCCTCCTGCAGCAAAGCACCCCCACAGCATGATGCTGCCACCCCCGTGCTTCACGGAACGGATGGTGTTCTTCGGCTTGCAATCCACCCCCTTTTTCCTCCAAACATAACGATGGTCATTATGGCCAAACAGTTCTATTTTTGTTTCATCAAACCAGAGGACATTTCTCCGAAAAGTACGATATTTGTCCACATGTGCAGTTGCAAACCGTAGTCTGGCTTTTTTATGGCGGTTTTGGAGCAGTGGCTTCTTCCTTGCTGAGCGGCCTTTCAGGTTATGTCGCTATAGGACTCGTTTTACTGTGGATATAGATACTTTTGTACCTGTTTCCTTCAGCATCTTCACAAGGTCCTTTGCTGTTGTTCTGGGATTGATTTGCATTTATCGCACCAAAGTACGTTCATCTCTAGGAGACAGAACGCGTCTCCTTCCTGAGCGGTATGACGGCTGCGTGGTCCCATGGTGTTTATACTTGCGTACTATTGTTTGTACAGATGAACGTGGTACCTTCAGGCGTTTGGAAATCGCTCCCAAGGATGAACCAGACTTGTGGAGGTCTCCCATTTTTTTTCTGAGGTCTTGGCTGATTTCTTTCGATTTTCCCATGATGTCAAGCAAAGAGGCACTGAGTTTGAAGGTAGGCCTTGAAATACATCCACAGGTATACCTCCAATTGACTCAAATTATGTCAATTAGCCTATCAGAAGCTTCTAAAGCCATGACATTTGTTTAAAAGGCACAGTCAACTTAGTGTATGTAAACTTCTGACCCACTGGAATTGTGATACAGTGAATTATAAGTGAAATAATCTGTCTTTAAACAATTGTTGGAAAAATTACTTGTGTCATGCACAAAGTAGATATCCTAACCGACTTGCCAAAACTATATTTTGTTAACAAGAAATTTGTGGAGTGGTTGAAAAACGAGTTTTAATGACTCCAACCTAAGCGTATGTAAACTTCAAACTTCAACTGTAGATACACACCAGGGGTTTTTCTGGATCAAAAAAGGGGTTAGGTGGTGAGCGTGGTAGGAGGCTTGGTAATGAGTGCGGTTATATTTTAGAGAACATTTAGAGGCCCGCATCTTGCCGCTGTAGAGACATTTTTGCATTTCTCCATGGAGCTGAGTTATTTTATTTTTTCCCGGTTTTAAAGCAAGTTTCCTGCAATTCTACACATTTGTCCATGCTGAGAGAACATGTCGCAGTTTTAAAGCTAATTTCCTGCAATTCTATTCATTTTACCATGAATAATGTGTTATTTTGCTCACACATAACAAAATACTGCTAAATTCATTGTTTTTGGAATTGTCAATTCTCCCTGTCTAGCTTTTATATTGGTGATTCTTAGTTCTCAAAGATTATATTATTTAAAAACATAAGTCCATTATCTTTTCTACATACATTATATCTGGTTTTAGTCGTTTAAGTTTACACTTAGTGTTTTCCATCCCGAAAATGTATTTAAACAAAATAAAAGGCGACACGAGGATTAAAATGGCAGAAAAATCCCTCTACACAATAATACCAAAGTCAATATCAGCATGTGAAGTAGCTAGCTGTAAAATTGCCTAAACAAGCTGTACTATCAATTTAGGAGTCCATCTCAGAGTTCAGCTTGCAGTTCCTCTCTGCCCAGAGCGAGTGCAGAGTACATTGCTATGGCAACAACGGCCCTTTCCCACAGACACACAGGGCGCATTGCGAGATGGTACTTGGAGAAACTGAGTTGAATAATTTGGTACACCGTTCAGATTGAGCACATCTAAGCTAAGTTCCTACCCGATTTCCTGATTTTACAGATGGACCACTTAGAAGTTACATTTGTATTTTACCCACTGATAGAACATAGGCTTTTACCAAATTTATAGGAGTTTCATGATTTTTATTTCTGGGGATAGATTATTCCTTTAATAGAGACCACATGTGCACCTGATCTCGCATGCCCAACTAGGAGAGGAGAGGAAGGCTACTGAACTTAAGGCAGCAAGAATGATGAGAGGAAACTTTCTCTTACGTTTTACATAGCCAGCCTATAGCCTTCAAACTAAACTCTTGACCTCGAAGCCAGTTCCACTGCGTTTTTTCATTGTTCCCCTCTAATTACGGTCTGACTTATACCTGGGACACCAGGTGGGTGCAATTAATTATCAGGTAGAAGAGAAACCCTACGAGGTCCGCAGCCTGCTGGTTAAGAGTTGAACACCCCTGGCCTGGCCTCCCGAGTGGTGCAGCGGTCTAAGGCACTGCAGCGCAGTGCTAGAAGCGTCACTACAGACCCGGGTTTGATCCCAGGCTCTGTCATAGCCGGCCGTGACCGGGGGACCCATGAGGCAGCGCACAATTGGCCTAGCGTCGTCCAGGTTAGGAGAGGGTTTGGCCGGCCGGGATTTCCATGTCCCATCGCGCTCTAGCGACTCCTTGTGGCTTGCCGGGCGCCTGCAAGCTGACTTCGGTCGCCAGCTGGACGGTGTTTCCTCCGACACATTGGTGCGGCTGGCTTACAGGTTAAGCGAGCAGTGTTTTAAGAAGCAGTGCGGCTTGGCAGAGTCGTGTTTCGGAGGATGCATGGCTCTCGACCATCGCCTCTCCCGAGTCCGTAGGGGAGTTGCAGCGATGGGACAAGACTAACTACCAATTCGATATCACGAAATTGGGGAGAAAAAGGGTTACAAAAAATATATACCAAAAAAAGTATGGCCTTTTAGGCGCAGGACGATTTGCAGGCAGAGACAAATAAATAGGTTATCAATAGCCTATTTATTTTAAAAAACGCAACGTTGCACCTCGACTCACATTGGTTGAGCGCCCTCCACTTCTTTCTATTAGCAATATTTATTTCAAGACACTGTAGTAAACTGTAGCCTAATCGTATTAAAGTTAATTTCCTTGGAAAGATAACTGTGCCGTGCGTCTCCGCCCATACATTTAATTGAGACCACACATATAGCCTATAGGCGCACATGATCTCGCACGCCCAACTAGGAGAGGTATAGGCTACTGAACTTGACGCAGCGAATTATGAGTGTGTGTGAATAGTGCGACAAAAAGGTGCTTTTAATCAACTATATATATAACACATCCAAAACAGAAAAACGACCGTTTCCACATTTTCATCCCAAAGTTGTCTGTCTACCCGCCTGCACCCAGCATGAAAAATGCAGACAGCGCCTCAATGATCTCTGCCCTCTACATATAGAACAACACGGTGCTCCTATAGGATATACAATAGAACAACACGGTGCATTTTTTGATAGGAGCACCGTGTTGATAATTTATTTTGCTAGTATCATTGATCTATTATCAAAATGTTTTTCTGAATTCACTACCGATGGGGATTTGACATCCCATGTTACACTCTATAAGGGCTCCAGAGAAATGCTAGTTGGCTACATTTAAACTTGAATAGCACTGAATGCCCTATTGTCTGTTCAGGTTCATGTACCTGTGACTGCATCGTCCTGGTACAGGTTAGACTTGAGCAGGTCGTACACATCCTGCCTGGCCGTACCCAAGGCAGCCAATCCCAGGCCTAGACCTCCACCGTGACGGACAATCTGTGGGAGGAAATGAAGCAAACCAAACAAAATGGCCGTCACAGACACGAAGACAACTTTGTATTCAACTCAAATGTGACATGATGTCCCTCTGATGGGCTTTGTGGAATTATCTCCATACTGCTTACACACACAAACACATCAGATCAAATCTAAGTGATCAAAGGGGTAGTGGGGCTATCGGTTGATTTGGAATTGGGCACGGTAAATGTGACGCGTCTGCTTGTTGCCACTCACGTCGTTGCTGGCGTTCTTGAGCTGGCTGAGCAGGTAGTCGATAATGTCCCCCCCGTGGTTGGCGTGGATCAGCCCGAGGGCGTACAGGCCGCCTCCCTCCTGGTAGGCCGATCCAGGGGAGGTGTCTTTTGGCAGATAGGTGGCCATCAACTGCAGCGCCTCTTTCTCGTGGCCCTGAAAAGATGCAGAGAGGTGGGTGAAATGTGGTTCTTTACATAAAAATCTGAATACCAAAATAATTCTCAGATATCCATTTAGGTTTTAAATTGTTTCAGCAAAGGTTTACCTTGTGAATGACACCAAGACTGGCTGTGGCTGTGAACTTCGCCCAGTTGGTGGCTCTTGCAAGCCACTCCAAGTTCTCTCTGTTAAAAGAATGAATAAAATCACATCACACATTAAAACACAGCGTTGTCCCTTTATGTCCTCACACTACTAGGTAAATGTACCCCACTACCACCTTCACAATGGAAGAGAAATGTAAAGCTATACTACAAATACGAATTTTCTGGAGAGTTATGAAGTGTGCTGGCAAAACAGAAGGTGATAGTCTCCATTTGTTTATGTTATAGCTGTTGATGTTATAGCATAGTGGCTATACCTGAGGAACTGGTCACTTGTGGTCCCCGTATGCATGAAGGAATTGGCTATGACCGTGGCTGTGTGGCACACTGAATTTCGGACTGCATCCTGGAATAGGTAGACGAAGCAACAAAACTTGTAGTATTTTAAATCCAATATATACAGTACCAAAAAGTTTGGACACCTACTCATTCAAGGGTTATTCTTTATTTTTTACTATTTTCTACATTGTAGAATAATAGTGAAGACATAACTATGAAATAACACATATGGAATCATGTAGTCACAAAAAAAAAGTGTTAAACAAATTAAAATATATTTTATATTTGAGATTCTTCAAAGTAGCCACCCTTTGCCTTGATGACAGCTTTGCACACTTTTGGCATTCTCTCAACCAGCTTCATGAGGTAGTCACCTGGAATGCATTTCAATTAACAGGTGTGCTTGTTAAAAGTTAATTTGTGGAATTTCTTTCCTTCTTAATGCGTATGAGCCAATCAGTTGTGTTGTGACAAGGTAGGGGTGGTATACAGAAGATAGCCCTATTTGGTAAAAGGACAAGTCCATATTATGGCAAGAACAGATCAAATAAGCAAAGAGAAATGACAGTCCATCATTACTTTAAGACATGAAGTTCAGTCAATCCGGAAAAACCATCAAGCGCTGTGGTGAAACTGGCTCTCATGAGGACCGCCACAGGAAAGGAAGACCCAGAGTTACCTCTGCTGCAGAGGATAAGTTCATTAGAGTTACCAGCCTCAGAAATTGCAGCCAAATAAATGCTTCACAGAGTTCAAGTCACAGACATCTCAACATCAACTGTTCAGAGGAGACCGTGTCAATCAGGCCTTCATAGTCATTCTGCAGCGATATGCCATCCCATCTGGTTTGCGCTTAGTGAGACTATCATTTGTTTTTCAACAGGATAATGACCCAAAACACACCTCCAGGCTGTGTAAGGGCTATTTGACCAAGAAGGAGAGTGATGGTGCTGCATCAATGACCTGGCCTCCACAATTACATTTACATTTATCACCCGACCTCAACCCAATTGAGATAGTTTGGGATAAGTTGGACCGCAGAGTGAAGGAAAAGCAGCCAACAAGTGCTCAGCATATGTGGGAACACCTTCAAGACTGTTGGAAAAGCCTTCCTCATGAAGCTGGTTGAGAGAATGCCAAGAGTGTGCAAAGCTGTCATCAAGGCAAAGGGTGGCGACTTTGAAGAATCTAAAACCTAAAATATATTTTGATTTGTTTAACACTTTTTTGGTTCCTACATGATTCCATATGTGTTATTTCATAGTTTTGATGTCTTCACTACTGGTACTGTATGTCTAATACTCATACTGGCATCCTTTACCTTTGTGTTCTTGAGAATCATTAGGTCTGTGTTGTTGTTCCGGATGAGGAACTGCAGATGCAATTCGATGGCCATTTCTCCGCTGAGAATTTTTATCATCTTTGCATTCTGGTCCTTCGGCTCATCGTTCTATGCAAGTAGAGGCAGGGCTGATCAATTATTTTGGGTGACAACAACCATTTAAAATAGCAAACAGCTCTCCACAACCAAAGAGAACCATCAAGTAGAGGTGGGGGTAACAGGGGGTCTTTTGTACTCACGTCTGCTGCTTTCCCTGCAGGGGAGCTGCCGGCCTTATCGTCCGTCTCCATAGCATCACTGAGACAAAGGAGAAAATATTATCATTCCATGCAACTTAAAGATAAAAAATACAATCCTGATTGGCTAAACATCTTGGTTAAATCAACTTAGTTTCACAGTAAATTACCTGTGATATGTCAAGATATTCCCCCTACACCGAAGTGCAATTTTAACACATCTTACTACATTTTCTACCCATTTTCCGTGCTCCCTAGATCTTTCCTTAACCCCTTTCTCTTTCCTTTCCCTACCCCTCACACCCTGAGACTGTACCCTCCGCATCGCCCACCTGTCTTTGTCCAGGTTGGGCACGGTGCCCGTGTTGGTGGAGCCGGGCACGGCAGGGATGGGCGTGCCCACGGTGCGCAGGTTCTGGATGACGGAGGAGAGGAACTGCTGGCTGGCGCTCTCGTACAGGTCGAAGCAGATCTGATAGGCCATCAGCAGGTTGTCTTCCTTCACCAGCTTCTCTAGGATGTCACTCACCGCCTGTGGGTCGTCCAGGAAGATCAGGCACTGTGGAGGAGAGAAAGAGACAAAGTTTGAGTGTGATGCATGGTGGTCACGTGGTTACTTCCTTGTATTAGTAAGGTGTATTTATTTGATATTGTACACATTTGAAGCTAAAAGCTAAAATGCAGTAACTAAAACTAAAAGAGATTTAGGTGGGGGGGAATGAAGACCGGTAATCTCTAGTCAGCCTCAAAGCGACTGATTCTGCTGGCAACACGTGAGTATGGGCACATGCAACCTGTTTGTCCTGATGAAGACACCTCAGACCAAAACATTGCTACAAATAAAGGTGGTTTATGAACAATATTGTGTTTGTCTTCTCTTTTCCTCATGTAGTTTCTCACCTACCCCCCTAACAATAAGGTGTGCATGTGACAATGTTTATTTTCAAAGTAATTTGCCATTGACTGACTGTCTAATTCCACTGGGTCAAGATGCTACAGTTTCAGATGGTGAAATCGGAGAACCATCCAACCATCAAACTGTGGGAAGCTGAATGGATATTATTAACAAAAATCGGAGCCCAAATTGAAGTGTCCTTTCTTCCTGTTACCTGGCAAACGTTGATGAAGTCAGGCTTCTCCAGATTCATATAGAGCTTGACCAGCACTCGGAGGACCTCGTTGCGGAACTTCTTGTTCTGCATCAGTGACATACAGACCTTCAAGCTGTAGGCCAGTAGGCCACTAACGTCGTTCTGTACAAGACGAGAAGAAGGAAGAGGGTTAGAATTTCAACATAAAATGTTGCAATTTGTTATTGGAAAAAAAGTTTTACACCACAACAAAAACATTCCATTCAAATGTAGGTTAAACCAAAAAGACATGGATCTGTGGATTTTCATGAAGCGAATAATTTTTGATTACATGAAGTAGTCAAATTAAACATACATTTGTGGAACCAAAACAGAATTGGTTCAGAAGAAGACCACGGGAACCACTGACCGATTCGAGGATGGTCTTCTCAAAGATGTCCAGGCGCCGCGTCTCCAGGGCAATGCCGATGGCCTGCTTGTACTTGTGGTCGCCCAGGCACCGCAGGAACATCTTGTTGACGATGCCCTCCAGCCGGGGGTCGATGCTCTTCTTCTCCTCATCCTCGGGAAGCTCAGCGTTCTCCACGCGTTGCTTGGTGTAGTGGTCGATGCATTTGGCTGAGGGAGAGACCAAGGTCATCAAAGAACTGCTTTATACCACTGAGGAATAATCAAGTGCTGTGATTTGTGGTATCAGTGGGTTGATATCTGAATTAGCAACGCTGGTCAGTGGGTATACATCAATTGAACGTTACTGAGGTGACTATGTGTAATGTAACAAAAGGGAAGCCTAAAGATCAGCAGGAGGTCATTATCAAGATTGTGTACTTGGGGACACCAGAACATGCAGTTGTGACGTCACTCACCGATAATGGTCTCCACATACTCAGAGTCGTCTGTGACATTGAAAAGGTCTCCTGCACCCAGAGCGTAGTTCAAAGACTCATCAAACGCCCCAAGGTGGTAGAACACTTTAGAAGCCACCAAGGCAGCAAACGCCCTGCTCCGAAATGTCTCATCTTCATACAGGACCTCGCTGTGAGGAGAGACGCCATTTAGAAATAAAGCCATTTAACATGAAAAACTTTCACTTGTCACTTGTCATTTTTCCCCTTCCAATAAAACAATAAAACTGACAATTTTGTGCTTTATTTCCTTATCTAAAAACTTACATTTTGTCAACAGATCCTGATATCTCAGCCCAGAAGTCATTGACAATGGAGTTCAGCTTGTGCAGAGCAAACTCCTATAAGCAAAACAATCCCAACGTTAGACCATGATCTTTAAATGTTAATCTAACAGGATTTTGGTATACTGTAGGTCCAGGATTGGTGACCACTGGTGTATTCTTACCTTGAGCTGGGGCTCCTCCTCATCCAGGAGTGAAATGATTCCAGCTGAAATCAAATAATATGTAGCTAGTCAGTTTCAACATCATGGATAAAACATGATACATATGTGTAGATAGCTAGCTAACGTTCGCCATCTCATTTGTGACGGTCATAGTTACCTAGCTAGCTAAGTTAGCTACATGTGAAGCCCAAACAGGTCAAACTCGAAGTAGCCACGTTTACCGGGCTTTGAAAACAAATTATACAGCATGTTGTTTTACATTATCTAGTTTGCCTACTAGCTAGATGGACCGGGCACAACTGTTGACAACTAGTAGGGTGTCCACCCACTCTGCCCAGAGTGGTGAAAACACGCTTAGTGGGCCGCAGGTAGCTTAGTGGGTAAGAGCGTTGTGCCAGTAACCGAAAGGTCGCTGGTTCTAATCCCCGAGCCGACTAGGTGAAAAATCGGTCGATGTGCCCTTAAGCAAGGCACTTAACCCTAATTGCTCCTGTCAGTCGCTCTGGATAAGAGCGTCTGCTAAATCACTAAAATGTAAAAATGTGATGACATTTCACTTGTGTTATAAAAATTAATTTCACCAAGACAAATATGATTATTTATGTTATGAATCGTTCAGTGGGGTCTTTCTCTAACATATAATTAACATTATAACCAAAAATTCAGATTTCTTAACTTACTACATCCGATAATAAGCACAGAGCTCTGTTGTCAGAGCGGTGCAGCTTTCTTGACAAACTTGAGGATTTTACATTTTGTGGTAATTGTCTTCCAAGTTGTTTTCATTGGTCGCAAATAGCAAAATTAGCATGACATGAGCTGAATTAAATGTAAAAGGCTTTGAAAATAAAAAGCTTGTGGTAAGCTCAGGGCTTCATTTACATTTCACAGATATATGCTTGCTTTTGTGAGAAGTCGAAAAAGAAAAGGAACTTTGCATTAATATGAACAGCGTATACTAAAATACTACATGTAAGGGCAAACATGTTTTGGTGATTTCTGGTACATCATCAAAATCAATAAATCACAGCACGGCATTAAGCCGTTTTTACCTGATTAAGTACTAGTGTTGCAAGGTATCCCGAAACTTCGGTACTTTTTCAATACTAGAACACTTTTTCAATACTTGTCTCCTGAGTGGCGCAGTGGTCTAAGGCACTGCATCGCAGTGCTAACTGTGCCACTAGAGATCCTGGTTCGAATCCAGGCTCTGTCGCAGCCGGCCGCGACCGGGAGACTCATGGGCGGCGCACACTTAGCCCAGCATCGTCCAGGGTAGGGGAGGGAATGGCCGGCAGGGATGTAGCTCAGTTGATAGAGCATGGCGTTTGCAACGCCAGGGTTGTGGGTTCGATTCCCACGGGGGGCCAGTATAAAAAAATATGTATTCACTAACTGTAAGTCGCTCTGGATAAGAGCGTCTGCTAAATGAGTAAAATGTAAATGTAAACATGAAAAACTGTTAGGTACTAGAATTTTTGTTACTTTCGGAACTTCTGTCAAATGTGTCTCACTGATCAAGTCCGTATTAGCACAGCCGATGTCCCCCTTGTAGCGCGAGTGCACCGTGCCACTTAACCTGCACTGGGTGTCTGAGCTAGTGGGACGGACGGGCTTAAGGTCATGAAATATTGTGTGGATGAAAGGAGGGTGGTTTGAATAAAGAGAAAACAATACGTTAAAATCCATAAATGTATCTTTCTTGTGCAATTATCACTGCGTAAACCAAACATTAGGAACACATTTCCTAATATTGAGTTGCGCGCACCCCCCCGGCAGACATACTTTGAAAACAGTTACTGTAGCATTTATTTAACTATACAACTTGCACGTACCCATACTTGACTTTTGACATTTTTTATGAAATGCTCGCACTGTAGAGCCCTGAGTGTGACCACCCGCCAACGTGGCTGGTGAATTAGACATTCTTATCCGCCAATGCCAAAATCGACCCACATTTGGCCGGGGGGCAGGTGTTAATTTTAGGCCCCGTCTCTGAAACATTGTGAGTAGCGGCGCATTTATGAGCGCATCTGATGTAGATTAGGGAAGATGTTATATCCCGGGGATATAGGCTACTGAATATTGTGCGGTTTCCTCCCGCATGTTGTTGCAAGACCAATGTGAAAGTAATATGAAGATTGGGACACACAAGTGATGATAGTCATAAATGGATTTAACGTGAGCATTTTTGTCCAATAAACAAATGACTTGCATGGACACGTGGTTATATTTAGGAATTTCTGTTCGTTTGAAAATGTTAAATCAACCAAACAAAAAAAATACAAATGTAACAAATAGCCAAACTCTGATTCGAACTATAGTTCAAAACTGTGTGAAAACACCCTTAATCTAGCTACTTCTGTACAAATTATGTTTTTGTTGTTATCTAAAGAAACATAGGAATGTGTTTATGGTTGAACTTTCTGTAAGTTTTCCTTAAATTGTTGTTCAAAGCTGCTCGCATCACAATAGCACACGGCATAGAGCGTGTTGAGCGTTGCGCTAAAAAGGGTCTGTGCGGAAACATGTGCGATTAAAAGGGTCCGTGCGGTGAACAAATGGAGATGCGATTAACGGCGTCAAAAAAGTTACTGGCATTAAAAATGTCACGCATTAACTTTGACAGCCCTACTATCTATACACTTCATTCGGAAAGTATTCAGACCCCTTTACTTTTTCCACATTTTGGAAAGCTTGAATTGACAGTTATGCTATAGTATGAAATTGAAAATCATTAAAATAGAAACAAATACACGCAACATTTCCATAGCCTGTTTATCAGCGACGCTGATTATCGAGAGGGAGAGTGTTGAAAACATTTTTCAAATACTGTGAGGAACTATTATAATTTGAATGGAAGTTTTTTTTTTTACTGACTTCGTTGACGTACTGTGTGAGGTGAAGAAAAGCCCAGCTGGGCACTTTCCTACATTTGACATTTGCAAGAAGCAGGCCAGGTTCTTCAATGCGTGCTCAGGCAAGCGCGCTCCGTCAACATTAACAGGACAGAGAAACCAGACACATGCTCATTGCTCACATGGAGCGCGTAAATGATATGAAATAAACCAAAACGTATCTCTCATAAGTGTAGCAGGTTGTGAACTCTGCAAATAACGTTTCCAACCAGAGAATGAGAGCGGTAAGTTACTGTACATAATACATGCATTAACTGAAATTAATGTAACCAAATGACAAATTGTCTGTTTTACAAACGGTAGGTTACCACATGGGAATTCATAAAAGTGCATTGCCGGGCGACACTGTATAGCCTAGGCTACTATTCTACTTTGCGGTGATAGGAGGGCGGCAATTTTTTGTGTCTAGTCTAGGGCCTCAAATTTCCGGGCGGCATCGACGGCCATGGCCGTGGATGCCCCCTTGTGTGGCCGTAATGCCCCCAAAAAATAAATCCATGCCTAGCGGCCAAACTGGACGTTATGCCCTTGGGCTGAATATACAGTACCAGTCAAAAGTTTGGACACACCTACTCATTCAAGGGTTTTTATTTGAACTATTTTCTACATTGTAGAATAATAGTGAAGACATCAAAACTATTAAATAACACATATGGAATCATGTAGTAACCAATAAAAGTGTTAAACAAATCAAAATATATTTTATATTTGAGATTCTTCAAAGTAGCCACCCTCTCAACCAGCTTCACCTGGAATGCTTTTCCAAAAGTCTTGAAGGAGTTCCCACATATGCTGAGCACTTGTTGGCTGCTTTTCCTTCACTCTGCGGTCCAACTCATTACATTTACATTTTACATTTTAGTGATTTAGCAGACGCTCTTATCCAGAGCGACTTACAGGAGCAATTAGGGTTAAGTGCCTTGCTTAAGGGCACATCGACAGATTTTTCACCTAGTCGGCTCGGCGATTAGAACCAGCGACCTTTCAGTTACTGGCACAACGCTCTTACCCACTAAGCTACCTGCCGCCCCAACTCATCCCAAACCATCTCAATTGGGTTGAGGTCGGGTGATTGTGGAGGCCAGGTCATCTGATGCAGCACTCCATCACTCTCCTTCTTGGTCAAATAGCCCTTACACAGCCTGGAGGTGTGTTGGGTCATTGAAAAACAAATGATTGTCCCACTAACTCCAAACCAGATGGGATGGCGTATCGCTGCAGAATGCTGTGGTAGCCATGCTGGTTAAGTATGCCAAAATTCTAAATAACAGACAGTGTCACCAGCAAAGCACCCCCACACCTCCTCCTCCATGCTTCACGGCGGGAACTACACATGCGGAGATCATCCGTTTACCTACACTGCATCTCACAAAGACACAGCGGTTAGAACCAAAAATCTCAAATTTGGACTCCAGACCAAAGGACAGATTTCCACCGGTCTAATGTCCATTGCTCATGTTTCTTTTCCCAAGCAAGTCTCTTCTTATTGGTGTCCTTTAGTAGTGGTTTCTTTGCAGCAATTCGACCATGAAGGCTTGATTCACAAAGTCTCCTCTGAACAGTTTGTTGAGATGTGTCTGTTACTTGAACTCTGTGAAGCATTTATTTGGGCTGCAATTTCTGAGGCTGGTAACTAATGAACTTATCCTCTGCAGCAGAGGTAACTCTAGGTCTTCCATTCCTGTGGCGGTCCTCATGAGAGCCAGGTTCATCATAGCGCTTGATGGTTTTTGCGACTGAACTTTAAGAAACTTTCAAAGATCATGAAATGTTCCGTATTGACTGACCTTCATGTCTTAAAGTAATGATGGCCTGTCATTTCTCTTTGCTTATTTGAGCTGTTCTTGCCATAATATGGACTTGGTCTTTTACTAAATAGGGCTATCTTCTGTATACACCCCCTACCTTGTCACAACACAACTGATTGGCTCAAATGCATTAAGAAGGAAAGAAATTCCACAAATTAAATTTTAACAAATTCGGGGCGGCAGGTAGCTTAGTGGTTAAGAGCGTTGTGCCAGTAACCGAAAGGTCGCTGGTTCCAATCCCCGAGCCGACTAGGTGAAAAATCTGTCGATGTGCCCTTGAGCAAGGCACTTAACCCTAATTGCTCATGTAAGTCGCTCTGGA